AGGGAGCCCGATGTGGGGCTCGATCCCAGGACCCTGGGATCATGACCTGAGCTGAAGGCAGACGCTTAACGACTGAGCCACCCAGGCGCCCCTAAGATATTTTTTTAAAGACATAGTTTGGAAAGAATCCATGTCTGCAGTGTCCCAATTATTCCTAGAATGTAACAGATGAGCAGAATAAGGAAGGGTACTGTCTGTCACCCAGGATTGATGATCATATTCAGAATTTTTTCTTCCTGAGATCTTAACCATGACTCTAGGCCAAGGAGAACAAGAGTACTCCCCCAGTCCTCCCAACCATCTTCCAAATGTTTATTCTCAGGACACAATGGGCACTTTTGGCTATTCTTTTAAATAAACTGATAGCCACACTGCATCAAGCAGATTTTTTCTGCTAAAGAGGGTGGATTATTATTATAGAGAACAATGGATTATTATTTGTGGTCCAAACCTCAAAACAAGCCCTTCTTTCAAACAAGAAGCAAACAAAAGACGTTCCTTGCCATTGTGGGTAGGCAGAAAAGCAGCCCCAAGGCATCTGAGTTCAAAATGAGGGACAAAGCACAAGACCAGGCGATCTGACCAGCTTATTCCAGGAAGTAGCACTGGTTTCTAATCCTTATTTACTCCGTGTCATTTTGACTAGTTTTCTCCACGGTGGTGAGCACTGCAAGGGAAGCCAGACTACAAAGTCAATAAATAAAAAGTCTCCTCAAGGGTTTTCTTAAACCAGATCCCTGCCTCAAGGCTGGCTTGCAAAATCTGACACCTGAGAGGTTATTTAAAGACGGAACTAGGCCAAGTGTCCAAGTTTACAGTCACTGAATTTTGACCATAAAGACTAACCAAATCCCTAAATGGCTTTTAGACAATCTGTCTGAGACAGACTCAATTGTATGAGAGCTGGTTAATGAACAAGTGACTTAAAAAAAAAGGGGGGGGGGTGCCTGGGTGGCTCAGTCATTAATCATCTGCCTTCGGCTCAGGTCATGATCCCAGTGTCCTGGGATCAAGCCCTGCATCGGGCTCCCTGCTCCACGGGAAGCCTGCTTCTCCCTCTCCCTCCCCCATTTGTGTTCCCTCTCTCGCTGCGTCTCTCTCTGTCAAATAAATAAAATCTTAAAAAAAAAAAAAAAAAAAGAATTTGGAAGTCAGGTATATATATTCCAACCCAGTGCAACAGAGATTTTCTTTTGGAGACTTATTTCAACAGAAAATATGTAGCTTTGATGACATCGCATATGAAAATGAAGCCACTTAGGCTCAACATAAAAATGGTTTTATTCCAGGGGCTACAGTCATCTCTATACACACCCCAAGTTCTCCCAAAGGAGACCCTCAGGAACTCATGATATAGAAATAATGGACAGGTAGTCACTCTGTTCTTTCAGGAAAGGCATCAAGGGGAAATTCTTAGCACAAAGACTCTCAGCAAAAAAAGACACTCAAAACTTCCACAGATGAACAAACAGCAGCTTCTAGAGTTTCTAGACCATGCATTCTCAACAGGGGTGACATCTCTCACAGTGGGGGCAAATATTGGCCCTAAGGGTAAAGAAGGATAAAAAAAAATCTTACTCTTTTTACAAAATAAAGCACAAATGAAGATGTAACAGTATATCTGTGGTCTTAAAATTTCATAGAAGGGGGAAAGAAATTTGGAAAGCATGTTTCAAAAAGATTCCTTAGGAAGGTGATAATGAATAAAAAGACTGAGAAACACTGCTTTAAGCAATCCCTAAAGCCTAGAGACAGTAAATATTATTAACAAATTTTTCCATCTGAGATAGAAAGGATATATAAGGGAAATAACAGCAACTAGAGGGAAACAAAACAGGGTTTGAACAATTCCAGCTTGTATGGCGTGACCTTGGGTAGGTCATGACCCTCTGAGCAGTTTCCCGTGCCCCCCAAATCTGTAGTGGGGAAAACACTTGTTCCTCGCAAGGGTGAGGAAGCGATGTGACAGAGGCATGTGGGGGGCTCAGCATCCAGACGATGCTTAACAATGTAACTCATCATCATGCAGAAGAATTTATCTCAAAGAGAAGTGGCAGACTCTGTCCCTGACACGGACCGACACCCTGAAATGTGAGACCCTGCTAAAGCACGTCCATGTGCAGATGGAACAACAGAAACAGGATAAACTGTGCAAGTTAGCACTGCAGGAGCCAGACGTGGTCCTGAGCACTTGAACAATCCTCCGTGATCCTCATAGCAGCCCCAGGGGGAGGTCTGCTCATCCCCATCTTCCAGACAAGAATCAGGATGGTTGGGGCGCCTGGGTGGCTCAGTCATTAAGTGTCTGCCTTCAGCTCGGGTCATGATCCCAGGGTCCTGGGATCGAGCCCCGCATCGGGCTCCCTGCTCCGCGGGGAACCTGTTTCTCCCTCTCCCTCTGCTCCTCCCCCTGCTTGTGCTCTCTTGCATGTTCTCTCTCTAATAAATAAACAAAATCTTTTAAAAATAAGTTAAAAAAAAAAAAAGATTCAGGATGGTCAGTCCACGTGAAGCACCCCACTGCTCAGCTAGCACTCAGCTACTGACTGACTAATCTTCCTGTCAGCTCTCCGGGGCTCATCTTTGTTCTGCCCCTCACCTTAGTCTGAAGTCCCCCACATACCATTCCTATCCCTAATTGTTCCCGGGGGAGGACACACCGTTCTGAGGACCCTACATAGCCCCTGCACAGTAAGTTTCCAGGACTACTGCTGAATCAGATGGACCACAAATCAAAAAACTTCATACTTAAATCAGAAAGGAGTGTGTGTGTGTATAAAATAGGAATACTTCAAAGAAATACAAATAAAAATGGGACAAATGAAAGCTGAAATGTGGAGGATAAACCATGATTAGTCAGCCAGGTCAACTAGAAGCTACTCGGTGGAAGAGAAATTCCTTAAGGGGATTTGATGGAGAAGAACAGGGGGCTGGAAAGAGGAGAGTGCCATCCATGTAAAGCCAAGGAAATAACTGCATTTAAGGGATGCTGAACTTATTTTTTTCCTGGAGAGTTTGAAGCTAGAGAAGGGCCCTGGAATCTACGTGTCAACACACTTGTTTGGGAAGTGAACCATCAGAAGAATGGATATTCGTTATACCACAGCAGTGAAGAACCCAGGAGGAAGGCTCAGCAGGAGGAAGTGAGCATTCTTACCGACACAGTGGTGTCGGTCCCCTCTGGCTGGAAGCTCCAGGACACCGAGGTCAACGTGCCGGTGGTGTTAGTGGACTTGAACTTGCATGTCAGCTTCCCTTGTGTCCCATTTGCCACGAAGATTTCTTTTGGTGTATATACCTCCAAGGCTGATGCATCAGTGGTCACTGGAGAGAGAAGAACAAGGAAAGCTTGAGTAGGATTTAGCATAAATACCACAGTGCATATCTATTAGAGAAGACAACAAAGATAATGAGAAAGTTATTTGATATATACAATATATCTGTTGCCATTGTGTACCATTGTGTACTACACATTTCTGGCCGAAGAGTCCACAGCCAGGTACTTCCAACAAGCAGGATAAACTGCTGACCGTCTGGGATTCTGTTTTTGTTTTTCAGTAGGAAGATATTTTCACTAGTTCAGCTATACCTAATGTTTGTTTTCTTTTAAATTAACAGATTTTATTTCTTAGAGTAGTTTTAGGGTTACAGAAACACTGAGCAGGAAGCAGAGGGTTCCCATCTATTCCCTCACTCCCCACCCCCACCAAGTTTCCCCTATTAGTAACATCTTTTCTTAGTGTAGTACGTGTTGCAATTGATGAATCAATATTGTTACATTATTGTTAATGAAAGCCCATCACTGACATTAGGGCTCACTCTGTGTTACACATTTCACAGGTTTTGACAATGTATCCACTATTATAGTAAAACACAGAATCATTTCACTGTCCTAAACATCCCCTGTGCTCCACCTATTCACTCCTCTCCACCGTCCCCCTCAATCCCTGGCAACCACTGATCTTTGTACTGTTTCTTTATGTTTGCCTTTTCCAGACCACTATATAGCTGGAACCATACAGCAAATGTAGCCTTTTCAGATTAGCTGCTATCACTTAGCAATATTTATTTAAGTTTCCTCCATGTCGTTTTATAGCAAGACAGTTCATTTCTTTTTACTGTTGAATAATGTCCATTTTATGGATATCCACCTCTCGGAGGACATCTTGGTTGCTTCCCTGATGGTCTATTTTTAATAATGCAGAGGGCCTATTTTTTTTCACTTCTTTAAATAGTTCTATTTACTTGTTAAATTTCAACTGCTAGCACACTGAACTTTTCTCACCTTCCATATTTATTGCAATTAAAGCTATTCTAGGTAAGGTATCACTTCACTTAAAGCCATATTTAGGGGCATCTGGGTGGCTCAGTCATTAAGCATTGGACTCTGGAGTTCAGCTCAGGTCATAATCTCGGGGTCTTGGAATCAAGACCCCCACTGGACCTTGCGATCAGTGGGGAGCCTGCTTGAGATTTTTTTTCCCTCTCCCTCTGCCCCCCACCCCGCTCTAAAATAAATAAATCAATCTTAAAAAGAAAAGAAAAAGAAAAAAGCCAGGGGCACCTGGGTAGCTCAGTTGATGAAGCCAGTCCAGTCGGGCTCCCGGCTCAGTGGGGAGTCTGCTTTTCCCTTGGCCCCTCCCTGCACCCCGCCCCCCACTCGTGTGCACGTGCGCACACGCTTGCGCTCTCTCGGGCAAAAATAAATAAAATCTTTTTTTTTTTTTTAAAGATTTCATTTATTTATTTGACAAAGAGAGACAGTGAGAGAGGGAACACAAGCAGGGGGAGTGGGAGAGGGAGAAGCAGGCCTCCCGCGGAGCAGGGAGCCCGATGCGGGCCTCCATCCCAGGACCCCGGGATCATGACCCAAGCCGAAGGCACACGCTTAACCGACTGAGCCACCCAGGCGCTCCAAAAATAAATAAAATCTTTAAAAAAATCCATATTTATTGTTTAACTGACCCTTTTCCTATAAGGGATTTAAGGCAAAAAACATGCACAACATATTTTGCTTTCCTTAATGAAATGGTATCTACTGTTACATTTCAGCGTGCTTGATACATATGTATTCAAGAACTAGCTGACCACGCTGGGTCATATTTTCACTTCACCCATTGAGTTTATTCAGTTAGCCTAAGCCCAGAAATAGTCATTAAAATGTCTATCACTTATAATATAAAAATAGCTCCTTTTTTCAAATGTGTAAGCAGAGCCAACTGTAAGAATTTTAAGGATTGCTGCTAAAATAAAATAATCTTCACTCAAAAAAGACACTTTCATGGATAAAATGAAGGTTAGAAAAAAAATTATTTAGCCTAAAAATGAAACCAATTAAAGCTAACGTAGAAAAGATTATCTTCCAAATAAGATATTTTTATTTATTTATTTATTTTAAGATTTTATTTATTTGACAGAGACACAGCGAGAGAGGGAACACAAGCAGGAGGAGTGGGAGAGGGAGAAGCAGGCTTCCCGCGGAGCAGGGAGCCCGATGTGGGGCTCGATCCCAGGACCCTGGGATCATGACCTGAGCTGAAGGCAGACGCTTAACGACTGAGCCACCCAGGCGCCCCTAAGATATTTTTTTAAAGACATAGTTTGGAAAGAATCCATGTCTGCAGTGTCCCAATTATTCCTAGAATGTAACAGATGAGCAGAATAAGGAAGGGTACTGTCTGTCACCCAGGATTGATGATCATATTCAGAATTTTTTCTTCCTGAGATCTTAACCATGACTCTAGGCCAAGGAGAACAAGAGTACTCCCCCAGTCCTCCCAACCATCTTCCAAATGTTTATTCTCAGGACACAATGGGCACTTTTGGCTATTCTTTTAAATAAACTGATAGCCACACTGCATCAAGCAGATTTTTTCTGCTAAAGAGGGTGGATTATTATTATAGAGAACAATGGATTATTATTTGTGGTCCAAACCTCAAAACAAGCCCTTCTTTCAAACAAGAAGCAAACAAAAGACGTTCCTTGCCATTGTGGGTAGGCAGAAAAGCAGCCCCAAGGCATCTGAGTTCAAAATGAGGGACAAAGCACAAGACCAGGCGATCTGACCAGCTTATTCCAGGAAGTAGCACTGGTTTCTAATCCTTATTTACTCCGTGTCATTTTGACTAGTTTTCTCCACGGTGGTGAGCACTGCAAGGGAAGCCAGACTACAAAGTCAATAAATAAAAAGTCTCCTCAAGGGTTTTCTTAAACCAGATCCCTGCCTCAAGGCTGGCTTGCAAAATCTGACACCTGAGAGGTTATTTAAAGACGGAACTAGGCCAAGTGTCCAAGTTTACAGTCACTGAATTTTGACCATAAAGACTAACCAAATCCCTAAATGGCTTTTAGACAATCTGTCTGAGACAGACTCAATTGTATGAGAGCTGGTTAATGAACAAGTGACTTAAAAAAAAAGGGGGGGGGGTGCCTGGGTGGCTCAGTCATTAATCATCTGCCTTCGGCTCAGGTCATGATCCCAGTGTCCTGGGATCAAGCCCTGCATCGGGCTCCCTGCTCCACGGGAAGCCTGCTTCTCCCTCTCCCTCCCCCATTTGTGTTCCCTCTCTCGCTGCGTCTCTCTCTGTCAAATAAATAAAATCTTAAAAAAAAAAAAAAAGTCACTCTTTGGCTAATTAGGACATGCAGCTCTTATTGCCAGGATTATGAATTCCAACTCTGGCCAATCAACAGTTCCAAAAAAAATAAAATGGCTCCATACATAGCTACTTAACATCTTCTCATCCCTGGCTCTCTCTCTTTCTCACCAGCACTACCCTTGTCCCAGGTTCTTGGGAGATCCCATTAGTCTTAAAATGAACCTTCCAAAGCCCTAGTCTCTTTGTGTCTTCTCTTTTCCTATAATATCATCCTCAGGCCTATCCCAGCCACCCATTCTCACATCCTACCCTAGGCCAGGGCTTCTCAACCTCTGCACTGTTGAAAACTGGGCGGCACTGTTCTCTGCTCAGGGGCTGACTTATGCATGACAGGATGTTTAGCACAGTCCCTGGCCTCTACTAGATGTCAGTGGTATCTGACCCCTTCCACTTGTGGTAACCAAAAATGTCCCCAGACACCGAAACATCTTCTCAGGGTCAAACTGCCCATGGTTGAGAACCATGGCCTGAGACCCTATTATTAATACGAGCACCCCCTCCACATCTCAGGCTTCTCTACTCCCTGACTCCACCTCCTGTCTTTCCAGAGCACTTCTCCCAATAACCAGACTTTGTTGATCCTTCAGCCGCAACAGAACCTAAAATCCATCAACCCTCCAGTCTCTACGGTCTCTCATGCTCAGCACATCTTCATTTTGTCCTACTCAGACTGGTTCCATGGCGCATGACTGGACTCATCCCGACTCTCCCCTCCGTGCACACTCCCGGCCAGACCTCAACCCAATCCTCTACCCCCTCTGCATCCCCACCAAGGGAGTGGACTATAGATGGAGAAAAGCACACAATCCCACTGACTGGTCTCACCTGAAATTCAGGACCAGTAACTTCAAAGGGGGCTCTTAATGCTGCCCAGCAATCCTTCCCCATTTCCCTAGTCCATCTACTTGCCACTCTCTGAGAGGACTATTTCATACCTTCCTCTCGAACCTCGACTTTCCACCCAAGACTGCTTCCTATTTCACTGAGAAAACAGAATCAATCAGAAGAGAACATCCCCGGTTCCCCAACTCCCCGCGGCTGCGCCCACAAGCTCTTCCCTTCCACCACCACAGGGAAACATCTGCGCTCCTCTCCAGGGCTGCCCCACTGTGCACAGGACCTCATCTTCTCTTGCCTAACTAAGGATGTCAATCCAGCAATTCTCCCTCTTTCTCCGGAATTTTTTACTCTCTCCTGAGTTACTGCCATCAGCCACATAACTGCCCATATTTATATTTATATCCCAGCTTTAAGGGAAAAAATCTTGACCCTGCATCTCCCCACCTCGATGGCTGTTTTGTCCTCTTCTATTTTACAAATCTTGAAAGGATAGTCCATGCTCACTGTGCCCAATTTCTCTCCTTCCATATTCTCTTGAATAAACCCAACTGAGGCTTTTATTCCCAGTACTCCACTAAAACTCTTCTGGTTAAACAATCCGATGACTCCGTGTGGCTAAATCAATAGTCAATTCTCAAACCTCAACATCTGACACAGTTGATCGATCCCCACTTGGAACAACTGTTTTTTCTCAGTTTGACTTCTGAAACATCACTCTTTGGTTCTCTTCTTATCTCATTGCCTGCTCCTTTTCTAGTTCTCCTGACCTCCATATGCTGGAGAGTTCCAGACCCTTCTGCAGACCTCTTTTCTCTTGATGGTCTCACCTAGTTTTAAGGCTGTAATTATCTCCTAAATGCTGATGACCCCTGTATGTACACACACACACACACACAAATGTCTATGAACAACCTCACTTGGATCTAACTGGCATCTCAAATTTAATATGTCCAAATTGAATTCCCGATTCCCACTCTCAAACCCACCGTTCCATGGCCTCTTCCATTTCAGTAAATGTCAGCACCAGCCTTCCAGGGGCTGAGGCTTCCTGACACCTCTCTCTCTCACAACTCACCTCCATGCTATCACAAAACATGTTGTGTCTACTTAGAAACAACTCTCAAAAGTGATCTCTCCCTGCCTTGCCCCATGCCGCCATCTTGGTCCAAGCCCTATCATCTTTCACTTGGGCTATTTCAGTGGCTGCCTAAACTGGTGTCTCTGCTTCCACCTTCACCCACTTAACTGCAGCCAATCCATGGGGAGGCCAGAGAGATCTTTTTAAAATACATATCAGACCGTATCATTCCTCTGCTCAAAATACTCCAAGGGTTCTCCACATTCACCAGGACCAGGCTCACAGGCCCACAACTCTAGCCCAACTAGGAGCCCAACTCGTCTAGCCTCCGCTCAGACCTCGCCTCTCCATCTTCTCCCTCAGCCACGCCGCAGCAGGCACCCTGGTCACTTTGTTGCTCCTCTGCCCGCGATGAGTGCCCCCAAATACAGAGAACACGAAGGACAAAGAGATGTGAGGTATCCCGGGGAGTCGTGATGCCGTGAGACAAGGGCAGAGGAAGCCCCTGTCGGGAGGGCCGAGGCCAGCGCTCTGCCCAGCTGCGCAGTGGCCTCCCTTGCTTAGAGGCCCGCGGTTGGCCAAGCACAGCGCAGCCCGTTCTGAGCACCTGCGATGAGCAGGAATGGGCTGCGCCCTGTGGGCAACGGCAGGCACGGCGTGGGTAAAGGACAGGTTTCTCTCCCGCTGCATGCCCTGCGGCTCAGCAAGGGATGAGCTCACTGGTTTCTTAAACAACTCGGAATGGTTTGCTCTGTCCAGCCTCTCCCCACCCCCACCCCCCAGTCACTAGGAGTATTATGGAAATACATAGTAAAATCATTGTGGAATTCAGATGGCTTGTCTTCACAGTCATGAAAGAGAGTTAGCTAAAACGGCTAAAAATGCAATTGTACACGGAGATGTGGAGAAACTGGTGTTGTAAACCCCATCGCTCCACGCCACTCGGGCCTGAAATCCCAGTCTGAATGAGATATTAAGTAGGGATCTTTTAGGCCTAAGATTTAGGTTAGTGGCAAATATTTCTGTGAGAATTATTAAAGCTTTAATTCAAAATTCAGATGGGGAAAAGTCTCCTGTTGAATCCTGGAAAAACCAACTGCCTCAGGAATAAAAACACAGAAGTGAAATGAAATGAAATAAAAAGAGTAAGTGACATATAAACGTTTTTTATATCCTGCCAACTTTGGATTCTGAATTATATATTAACTTACATGTAAATTTCAAAATGGTTTAACAGGCGCTGAGCTTACTTTCTTCCTGGGGGAAGGAATCCTGCTAAGTTACACTCGCATTCAAAGGGCAAGAAATGGAACGAGGACAACCCTTCTTGTAGATCAATTCAAATGAAAAGCCTGAAAAATCATTTGACAAGGAATCAAAAAGTTTGTAGAATCAACTCACCAGGGGTCATTCTACAGTAATCAAATATGATACCCAAAATTTGATATTCTTCTTTTTTGGATGGAGAACCACAACAGCTTAGGAAAAAAACAAAGCAACAAAACAACATCCATTGCAATCACAAAGAAAAAAGCAAATTCAAGAATAGTTTGGCCAAGAGTCTATTTCTTGACATGATCGATTTCTTTTTTTTTAAATTATTTTTTTAAGAATTTTTTTTTTTTTTTTACAGAGGGGGATAGAGAGAGAGCATAAGCAGGGGGAGCGGCAGGAAGAGGGAGAGGGAGAAGCAGGCTCCCTACCGAGTAGGGAGCCCGACGTGGGGCTTGATCCCAGGAACTAGGGATCATGACCTGAGCTGAAGGCAGACGCTTAACCCACTGAGCCACCCAGGCTGGCACCCTGACATGTCCTATTTCAGTATTTTGAATTACTGAAGTAATGCAATGTCAATAATGCCTCCTAATTAACATGCCCAATGGTCTTACGCCAAGTAAATTCAAACTCTCATACCATAAAATCATTTGAAATACACTGGAATAGCATTATTATGAATGAATAAACACTTTCAAGGCCTAGACAGGGGCCCCAAAACTTAACGATGGATGCAGTTCCTTGTCATATCACTGCTGGTCCGTCTACAGTACCCGGTTTGTAAAAACCTCACCCTTTCAACAACCCCCGCTACGTTTTTCCTTGAAATTGAAAGAAGGCTTTTGTTTTGAAATTTTTTTTGAAACACTTTGATGTTACCAGTATATTCTCCTGCCTAAAAGAGTACAATCAAGCAATTTATTTAAATAGCTTTCTAGCCTATCTCTTGTTGGCTGTTGGTACACAGTGTTAATCTGATATCATAATATCTCCTAACACAAGCCTAAATATGACCTTTTAAAACATACTAAAAGAGAAAAACAAAAGAACACGGAACACGATTCAGATGGTGGGTGTTAGTGGAAGAGGGTGGAGGCGGCAAGATGAAAAAGGCACCCACTCTTGGTAACATTTGATTTCCTAGGGTAGGTCGTGAGGGCATGGGAGCTCGTTTTAACATTAGCTCTGTAAACTGTACACACACACACTCCTTTGTATATATTTTATTTTTCATAATAAAAATTGTGTTTTTAAAGAAAGGAAGACATCAGTAAGCTGATAAGAGACTTGCTTTTTAAATTCCAGAATGTTCCAGAGAAAGCATTCAGCACAGGATTCCTTCACAGTATCAACTGTGACTCCTACAATCAGGCTGGATAAAGTACAGCCAACGGATGATGTGTGTCAGTGGAAACCATACAGATGCTGGGCCAGAGGCCTCCCATCCTCAGAACAGGGCCACTCTGCCACCGAAGTGGGCTCCTTTCTTCTATGAATCAGGCTCTCTATTTTGGACCTCTCTCAGCTGGATAGCACAAAGTAAGTGAGACTATTAAAAACATACACTATTCAATGAACCCTAAATATTAATAAATGGAGCTTTTTGGGGCACCTGGGTGGCTCAGTTCATTAAGCGTCTGCCTTTGGTTCAGTCACGGTCCCAGGGTCCTGGGATCTAGTCCTGCATCAGGCTCCCTGCTCAGCAGGGAGTCTGCTTCTCCCTCTTCCTCTGCCCCTCCCCCTGCTTGTGCATGCTCTCTCTCTCTCTCTCTCAAATAAATAAATAAAATCTTTAAAAAAAATAAATTAAGTGGGCGCCTGGGTGGCTCAGATGGTTGAGGTCTGCCTTCGGCTAGGGTCATGATCCCAGGGTCCTGGGATTGAGTCCCACATTGGGCTCCCTGCTAAGCGGGGAGCCTGCTTCTCCCTCTGCCTCTGTCTCTGATGAATAAATAAATAAAATCTTTAAAAAATTAATTAATTAAGCTTTTCACTTGTCATGAACATACTCCTCTACACTCTGTCTGCAGTTATGCTCCGGGCCTCAATCTAAAAGTGACTTCCTCACGGCCTTTGCCCAAACTCCCCACCCTGTGCTTCCCCCACCCCCACATCCTGCCCTGCCCGGCTTGGCCCTGTGAAGGCCCCCCCTTACAGTCTGCTGGAATGACCGTCTGTCTGTAACCAGGAGAGACTAGGGACTGTGTCCACCTTGTTCATCATCATATTCTCATTACCTCACAAATGCCTTTTGTCAATGTGTTCAACAAACATTTGTTTGAAAGTTGGAACAAAGGAAGGAAGGAAAGAAAGAAAGAAAAATAAAACATACCAACTAAACTCAGATAAGCTCAGCCATAAAAAAATATACTTGCTTCACAACAAATGCCCTTAGGATAATGCCCCAAACACTGTTTGCAGAAATTACTCAGGGCCTAGTTAGGATGCTGACAACTATCTTGGAGGAAGTTTAGATAGGTTTCAAGAGTCTTCTTCCAATCTAGATGAGAGAGTCCCAAAGGAGACTCATCTTTTGAAATGTTCAATAAGAAAGGTGCATGTACTACTTTAAGACCCAGAATAGATAGGAAAATCTTGAAAAAGAAAAACAGAACTGGAGGCATCACACTTCTAAACTCCAAGTTATATTACAAAGCTGTAGTGATCAAACCAGTATGGTAGTGACAAAAAAACAGACACACAGATCGATGGAACAGAATAGAGAACTCAGAAAAAAGCCCCACAATCACATGGTCAGTTAATCTGCAACAAAGGAGGCAAGGATATGCAGTGGGGAAAAAGACAGTCTCTTCAACAAATAGTGTTGGGAAAACTAGGTAAGCGGCATGCAAGAGAATGAAACTGGACCACTTTCTCACACCACACCCAAAAATAAACTCAAAATGGATTAAAGACCTAAATGTAAGACCTGAAACCCTAAAAATCCTAGAAGAGAACCCAGGCAGTAATTTCTCTGACATCAGCTGTAACAACATTCTTCTAGATATGTCTCCTGAGGCATGGAGAACAAAGCAAAATAAACTATTGGAAGTACATCAAAACAAAAAGCTTTTGCACAGCAAAGGAAACAACCAACAAAACTAAAAGACAACCTATTGACTGTCATTTGCAAATGACATATCTGATAAAGGGTCAGTGTCCAAAATATATAAAGAACTGTAACAACTCAACACCAAAAAACCCCACAAACAATCCAATTAAAAATGGGCAGAAGACATGAACAGACATCTCTTCAAAGAAGACATCAGATGGCCAACAGACACATGAAAAGATGCTCCACATCACTCACCATCAGGTAAACGCAAATCAAAACTACAATGAGATATCACCTCACACCTGTCAGAACAGCTAAAATAAAAAACACAAGAAACAAGTGTTGGTGAGGATGTAGACAAATAGGAAGCCCTGTGCACTGTTGGTGGGAATGCAAACTGGTGCAGCCACTGTGGAAAACAGTATGGAGGTTACTCAAAAAAATTAAAAATTAAACTACCATATATTCCAGTAACTCCATTACTGGGTATTTACCCCAAAAATATAAAAACACCAATTCAAAGGGATACACGCACCCCTATGTTTACTGCAGCTTTATTTACAATAGCCAAATTATGGAAGCAACCTAAGTATCCATCAATAGATGAATGGATAAAGAAGATGTAGTATATATAATACAATGGAATATTATTTGGCCATAAAAAATGAAATCT